GTGTGTTCCTCCCGCAGATAACATACCATCTTTTAAAACTGAGACCTTCACTGCCTGTTAATGATGTATGGTGCAGTTAAGATGATTTATTACTTTTTAATATAATGGCATTGAAGTATTTTCCATTTTTATTCATTTAGCAATTGTTATGGTCTCAACTGATATTACCTTTTAAATTAGAAAAAAGGTATTTGTGTACTTTCAATAGTCCATGTGTATTAAGGATCTTGTTTTCAGGAACTTTATTTGAGTTTTTAATTACCCAAGTAAATAATGTCCTGGAATTGAAAAGTTAATTTTTTTTTAAACAACATTTCCTCCCAAATCAAAAACTATTGAGGTAACCTTAGTATTCTGTTATATAGTGCTCAGGGAAGAAGGTCATGCCTTCTTAGTGCTGGTCTCCTGAGTTTGGGAGCTGTGGAATTTTGGAGGGGTTTGTGTATGCCTCTTGTTGCTCATTGGTTAGTTCTATGCATGTTCTTGGAGTAGCATGGACTGTCTTTTGTATGAAGGCAAATTCTCTTCTTCCCTGTTAACTGTAAGGTGGTAAAGTTGAGGATAACGAAAAAGAAAATGGAAACATTTTGAAGGGGAAGATATGGTTGCATTAGATGGAACTTGCAACAGCTTTCCTCTAATAAATGTTGGAAGGCAGTTTTTCCGTATTAATTTTAAATGCTGAATTTCTACAATTTGTGTGTATCACTAATTAGAAACTGACTCACTGAGTTGTCCTTGTTTATCATTAAAACTAGTCGGTTGCCCGTCAGGAATGATGGTGGGGGGAGAGCATGTGGTGACGGTGCCCAGTGCTCCCCCCATCTGGGTCCACTCCCCCTTCACCTCCTGCTGCTTGGGGTCTGGTCCCCCTCCCTGCTGGAACAGCGAGGGGAGGGGAGGAGTGGGTCCGGGCCTGATGCAGGGAAGGCCTGGCCCAAGGGTGGGGAGAAGATGGGTCGCTGTGGCGAGGGGAGCAGTGGACCCAGGCCGACTCGGCAGTGGTGGGGGAATGGCAGGAGCAGGTTTGGAACCGCCCCCCCCACCCCCCCGCTCTATCATTGCTACCTGGAGGGAGCAGGGCAGGGGGAGTGAGGCCAGTGCTGCTGGCCTCGCCCCCCCATTCCGTTCACTCCATTGCCCCTGCCTCCAGGGAGCAGGGAACAGTGGATGAGAGGCCAACTGTACTGACCTTGCCCCCCTCTCCATCCCCTGTGTCCCCACCATCATGGCGGCACTCCACTACCGCCAATTTCTGTTTGAACACCTGTTCACACTCTGATTGACCGTTTGTCAGCCTATCAGAGTGCAAATAAAGCGTTATGGATGGACGGACTCAGGCTTTAATAATATTAAAATACTTGGAGGGATCTGATTTATGCACCAAAATCTGACCCTTTCCTTACAGTAGAGCTGTCCAATGGGCAGCTAGTGAGCTGCATATAGCCCATATATTAAGTCTTCATTGCCTGCGGGCTCCTGTCTGGCTGCTATTTCCCCCTATGACTCCTGATGCGGTGGCAGTCAAGGTCTCCAGGGGGCCTCCCCTCTCACATTTTGGCTTCCACTTCTTTCCTCTGGCCCCAGGCATGAGATTGGAGTAGCAGAAAGAGGCTGGGCTGCTCATACTGTGCATGTGCCCAGCAGGTAAGTCTGGGGAGAGGGAAAGTGGGGTGTGGGGGGTGCAGATTGAGGCAGAGGGATAAAAAATTACTTTGGGGTGCACCTCCCTAGCAGGTAGGTCCCACCTGCCCGGGACCCCACTCAACTTACCCCTGCTCATGCCTCTGTGGCACTGTCCCTTACCATGGGGGCCTCGATCTAGCCCCCACCCTTTCCCGCCCCCATGGACTGACCTACTGGGCTGGGGCACGCGCGTGTGTGTATGCAGGCACTCACCCCCAACCCAGCCTCGGATCGACTCCAAGAGGCTCCGAGATCTACTGGTGGATCGAGGTCCACTGGTTGGTGACCACTGACTTAGAAATATCTCATTTGTCTTTTTTCAAGCAATGTATCACAGTGGAACAAAAAACTGTTTTAGTACAAGAGTTCATGACGATAAAAATTACGAAATCTCTAATGGAAGCTTTTCTTTTGAAAGAGT